ACACACACACACACAACCTTCCTCCACTTTTTGTGAGTTGTCAAGATCTCGGAAACACAGGCCTTGATTGAGGAAAGCACATGAGTATGAAGCACATGGGTATCATAACAAGTTGTCATCTCCAGTAGATCAAACAAAAGCAAACCTTGGTGCTACGAGACACTGCTGCAGGACCCTGAACCCAAACATTTCCGAATGACACCAGTTTCTGACCGCCTCCTCAGCCATCCAAACGTTCGGCTACGATCCAGGAGGAGGGTCCGTGTGGTGCCCCAAGAATCACTGCCGAACGCGGATCCGAACGCTACGTGGCAGCGGCTGATCCGGCCACGGATGGGCCAGTCCACCTTTTGAAGAGCGAATTGGCTTTTACTTCTTTGGGCATCTCTCTTCACAGCTGTGGCCAAAGGGGGGGGGTTCCAACATGTTCCGACTCATGCATTCGACCAAGCGAAGGTCCCACGGCCACAGGTCGGCACGGAGAGGTGACCCGAACGTCGACATCTCATGGAGAGGTGACGCCAGTTTCTCCACTCTCGTGCACTACCTCCATATGGCTGGCCGCCCGCGGTGTCTTCTTCACAAAGGCTGCTGCCTCCAACAAAGGGGGTCAAGCGATGTGTGCGGGAAACGGGCACGTTCAGCATTACCTTGATTAGCTGCAGAAGAACCCAACAAGGTTCCTTGCAAATAGCCCAATGCAGCCATGCATGGTCCATGAGTAGACGATCAGGCCTGGTGCCCACAGCAAACCTGCAGCCTAACTTTAACCCTCTTCTCAAACCCACTTTGCTCTGTGGCCTCCACTTCCATCTTTCATTTTGCACAGGGCAATGTGAAACAAGAAAACAACACGCTACGCGTACATGCTGATCAAGTTATCCCGCCTGCCTTTGTGACAGATTGAAACCAAATGAATCTGTTGATGCATCCAACTCACCGATGGTCCACGCCCAACCTGCGCCACCGCCCGATTCTTCGTACCTGACTTGCCAGGGGCTCCGCCACGCCCCACATCCGCCGCAGAGTTTGGTGCTTGTTGGGCACAAAGGGCCGGCTGCCGACCATCGGGACCTGGTGACGGTCCACCGGACTTCCTGGTTGGGGAGGATCCCCAATCTGCCTGGTGGTGATACGTACAGTTTTGAAGTGGGATGAAGTGGGCTAACATCCAAACCAAAACACCAGCATATCAAGACCTCCAGATCTAGTTGACTAGTAGGTGAGACAAAACAATCATGAGTCATCTCAAGGTTTCTTGGCGGGATGCGATTTTTGGACCACACCACGATTCGCGGCTGGCCCCCTACTGTAGAGTTTGTTGAGCATCACAAAGAGAGTTCATCATACTCCAAATTTAGGTAGTAGGCAAAAATACATGCAAGCAACCTCTATACTTGCATGATCTATAGCATGCACCAATCCACGCGGCACCGGACCGCCGAGGTCCCGCAAGACCTCGAGCGACGAAAAAGCGCCGCGGTGGCCTTGTGTGCTGCACGCCGGAAGCTGGAGGTGGCCATCCTTAGGCAGAGCGCAGGGGGGTGCAGAAGCTGGAGAACTCGATTGGCCCAAACATAAAGGATGATTAAGCAATAAAAGTTTGTTCAACATGTCACTTTAGCAGCTCCTGCTCAAGAGCAGCTCAATTACATTTCGGTCCTTTCTTTGTCGACCGGTTCTTGATCGGATTGTCTTGTGGACAAAAGGCAATCCGAAAACCTTCCCAAGACCAAGACTTTTTATTTATGCAACAATCATGAGCAATACCAAATGGTGTTACCTTCCACACTCACTTGCGAACTGTCTGACGGCTTACCCCTCTAAGCCCTTGCTAGAAGGTAGATAGATATCCACGTGACGAACATAGCACGTTGAATTGACGACTACCTTTGTACAAAAAGTTATCGGGATCCAAGAAGGATGAGAACATGAATTATGAATTTAGGAGGCCCACTCAGTCCGTGATCGTGATGTGTGCGAACGAGGTCTTATTGCGAATGCATTTTTTAATCCGTTGATAGAGTCCACTCCTATTCTTAAAAAGAATTTCAACATACAGTGCTTCAAGCGTATCAGCCTGGCCTTAGGAACGAATTGTGTGGCAAGTCGAACGTAACACCGGTTAGGCAATGATGCATAATCTTGCACAACTTGAAGCAAATGATCAAGACTCGGCAGAACAGGGCGAGAAGCAATGCCGCCCAGTCTTTGCATATTTTGGAACAAGCGGTGTTTGCAGAGTATTTTCCAAATACCGAACCACGGCCCGAAGAGGATCAGCTTGATGCCACAAACTTCTAGATTCCTCTTTTCAAATTGCTACTTCTTCTGAGTGGAAAGCATACGGTGTGGGAAGACGATTCTTCTTAAAATATATCCACACTGGAAGTGCAGTTCCAGGAAAAAACATGAAGCTAATAGCCATTTTGTACCATCTGACACCCCAATCTTCCGGTCGTTTTGGTATGCTTTGGTGGGTGCCACCCTCAGGGTGCCAAAAAAACTCATGCCAAACACGAAATGCGGTGGGCATGCCCCTGGCGGGGATGCTTGGGCAACTACTGGCTCTAAGGGCACGTCAAATTGTCATACGGTTGCTCAATTTGTCCCATTTTGGAGACAACATGTTAGTATCCATTATTTTGTGGCGAGTTGGAGTTTCCAATTTTCCAAATTGTCATATGGTTGTGCCCGATAATGAGAGACTGCATCCAACGTGTTATGACTATATGTGTCTCAGCTTCATCTGTTTCTTTTTCCAGCTTCAATTGTTTATGTAATAAATTAAGTTCAGCCAGATGGGCATAAACACACAACAAGGCTTCTTTGTGTCGAAGACTATGTTGCCAGATAGACTGCGCAGCTTGAGCAGAGGGTCCATATCACGCTTGTTAACCATTTTAGCTGTTTCATCAGGAGCTGTATTACCCAAAATTGTATATAGATCTTCCACACCCGTACCATCTTTGGGTGATCGATGCCATTTAACCTTGAATACTTGATGGAATCGCGGTGTCCACATTTTTGTAGATGTTGAACCAGGTCAGCATGTAGTTGAAACGCTTTAGTATACAGATGTATACAGTATATCCATGGAAATGGCCTCAAGGGTCTTTTCGACAACCTCGAGTCTGTGTAAATATTCATCTGGCATATGAGTGCTAAAATGGTCAACCAGCCAACACACGGACTCAAGTTCACTTCGATGGATAGATTGGAATCCTTGCGTGTGAGATGATTGTGTAACCACAAAACGATCCAGCGATGGATCACTGGGATCATGTGAAAATGTTTGAACGACCGCCCACGCTGCCCTGCAACAGCTATGGTGGGTCGGTTTATCGCAAGTGCCGTCGGCAAAAAACACATTAATGATCTGTAGGACGAATATCTGGCACATCAAGAAATGGGCCTGCATTAGGCACCTTTGAAGTCGGTTATAAACAAACAATTGGTCAACGGAAGAGTTGGTGGCCAACGGGAGATGGACGCCAAGCTGCTATATGCGTTGAGATGGCTATGCTAAGTGCATGGCCTCTTGATGCGATCGTTTCGCAAAAGACGACCAAGCAGGACAAATACTGATAGAAGATGGGCGTGCGTATCAAGGTATTAGGTTGCAGATCAGTGGCAGGTATTAGGTTGGCTACGGTCCCATAAAAGTCTGGTATCCTCCCGTTAGATCCAGTGCGATCAAACGCAAGGTATGATCTGACAAGGTCCGCAGGACTTTATGCTGAATATAAGCATCGGAAGGTAGTTGTGTTACTCCTTTGCGGTGTGAGATCTGGAAATGAACTGCTGACAAGGAGTTTTTCGCGTGTCGATTGGACCTGCAACAAAACCTGGACACGAGTGGTGTCCACTCGGCATTTCAACTATCCCATCTGGTTTTGGGGCCCACTTTACCCGTCTAAGATAACCAGCAAGAGCTCCACACTGGCCCTGGGAAGTGGTGGAGGTCAGGACTTCACGCCACATATTTTGAGCTAAAGTGGGGTGATGATGGAACAGTCGTCGAAGACTACAGAGCGCTGTAGAAATGACAAACAGTAACGGGTCATCCACCCTATCAAACAATATATGTAAAGCCAAATACGAGGATGCGAACTTATGATGCCCAATTAGTGCTAGTGCTTCCGTGGCCTGACGACGAAGCTTTACAAAGTGATTGTCACCAAGAAGTTGGCTCTCGGCGCCATAAATGGCCTGTGGCCAGACAGCTGTTTGGATTTTACTTGCTTTTTCATGTATGGAGGAGATGTGATGCTTACCAAGTCTGACTAGTCGGCGGCTCGCGACCTTCATCTATCTTAGAAACATCCTAGTGTGACCTTACGAGTATACTGCATCATGCACCCTAAATCCTTAGAGGATTGTTTAGTGGCAATGAATATCGACGTTCCCGGAAAAAGGAATTCCATATTATTCCAAAAAGAGCGCACTTCTTTTGTAGTGCCCCACCCCCAGGACTTTGCCAAATCGACTTTCATGTTTAGTGCCTGCGTAAAGTTAAGAGTGCTCACAAATGCAAGAAAAGGGGCTTTCTGAAAATAGACATAAATGTCCAGTTATCGGCCGGCATATGTGAACGGTGTGACCTGGCAGAAGGACATGCGATGGACAAAATGTGGCTGCAATAGCCAACATTGCGCAAACCGATGAGGCATCACCCTCAGGGGCCCCCGTAGTGGAGGGCATCGAGTGGCTACATGAGCCTTTAATTTGGAGAATACGTTCCATATTATTGAGCGACCTTATCCAAAAGCCAATCACTGTCAGCGGGACACCCATAAGTACCAAAAGGCATTTAGCCACCTGTCGCGGGATCAAGTTAAAGGCTGAACAACCAGGTCAAGTGTGAAACCGCCATGGGCGACATTTGTTTTATGCGCCCTCTTGAGTAAGAACTGCTGTTGTATAGTGATATCCTTGACCGAACGGAATGGGAGGCCGCCTGCAATTTTTGGAGCGGCAAGACACTGGTCAGCTATCATTTTTGAAGAAAAACGTGGGATGTACCCACGAATTGTTATTGGGCGACCATCAGAAAAAGAGTCAGGGTGTGGGACTTTCGCCAGCAAAATCACGTGCACTAACATTTGGCTCTCTGTGTATTGAAATTGAGATGGCCAAATTTGATCGAAAATCAAAGCCAAATCAATGATCGCGGAGAAAGGGACAAGTTTCAACTCTTGCGCTCTCCACCCATCAGCTCCTGGGGCTTTGTAGGACTTCATTTTGTGTATTGTGGCCATCAGCTCCAACCCAAGGTTGTCCCAAAGCAAGATCGACTGGTGTAGGTTCCATCTGAGCAACAAAGGGCTGTGAGCGCCCGGTCGAGCCATCTTCTTGTACATATTGATGGATCCCAGATAGTGTCCTCACAATCAATCTCGGCTCAGTAACTTGCACCTTATTTATGCGAGAGAGCACTGCTTGCTTATTCTATGTCGTAGTGCACGACCTAAATTCCTGGGATGAGTTTCACACTCAGGTTCTGCTCCAAAACAGTTTTCTGCCTCAACAGGAATCCTGCTTGCGAATCCCAGAGATGCACCACTTGCAGCTTCATGTGTCACATGTTTTCCCTGCTCACACCCTGCTCTGTTCCTATCCTTCCCACAAAAACACTCCATACTCCGAACCATCCGAACCCTAAAGCGGTCGTTCAGCTCTAGCTTCTGAAGGGGCGGCCTTGGGATCCTGGATCCCGCACCGCCCTCCGCATCGCCTCCGGCAGCATCGGGTGCATCGAGGCCGGTGCCACCGCGGCGGAGCTGGCGGTCCGGTGGAGCGAGGGGAACGTGGCAGGGAAGATGAAGGTTCTCTTTTGGAAGGGCCCCCTGAGGCTCTAAAGACCCTGAGAATATGAATATGGTTCCCTGGTTGTTGTGTTTTGGGAGAGGTTTGGAGAGTTGTTTGGTACCTTCTGAGGTATCTGGAATTATCTAGAGCTGTAGGGCAATAAGTAGTTGGTGAATTGTCTCTGGCTGCTCTAGCTCCTCTCCCATTTCAGAATATGCAGATGGTTCCCTAGGACGAAGCTGTGTGGGTTTGTCCCCCTATGACCTCATCCATGAGTATCTATATAGCCAGTGCTGAAAGTCTTCCATGATCTACAGTGGCACTCCCCTGCAGAGGTCCACATGGAACCCTAAAGCCACTTGGTTGTAGAGGAAAATAGTCTTTCACAGGTCAATTCTCGGATTCCATGTAAGTTTGCGGGGGGTACTATTCTATTCTCTTGCAATACATTGAAGCAAAATCCAAAGCCAATGCCTTCAAATGAACTCCCGCTCATTGTTCAGTGATACTGTCATGTGACACTCCGTAAAACATGTTTGCGATCGCATGTCCTTTTCGGCGATCCGTTTCGGCGATCGCATGTGGCGTCCGTCTCATTCAATGTCACAGCATGCATAGCTAGGAATGTCATGGAATGTCTATTGGAATCGATCCTCAGGCCCTGACTCGCCCTGACTCAAGTCAAAGAGGCGCTTTGGTCCGGGGGATTGGCTGAGGACCATCTTTGCAGGGCTTGATGGTGTAAAAAGGCTTTTAGGGTATGACACACCTGAATCCATGTGGGCTTGTCGCCCAAAAAACTGCGAGATGAATATACCCCAAAGCACCATGTCGATCCCATGTGTCGTGTCGCTCGCCCTTGCGACCCCCCCCAAAACCCTTTCCTCCCTCACCTCCACTGTAGGAGCAGCAACCACCTTGGCTGCCCTGGGCGAAGAGTATCCTCGGCACCAATGCCAACTGGTCCCCACAAAAGGGATTGTTGCTGACTCTCCAAATGCTATGGCAGGCCATATGCTGGAAACAAGCCAATTTTCAAAGCGCTATATGAGGGACGGTCAAAACTCCTTATTCTTCTTCAACGAACAAATTGGCGTTGGGCGTCATCAGTTTTGGGTTGGACCTTCTCGTCTTACAGTGTTTTGAGTTCGTCGCATACTTATGATAATATACAACGCTGGGGGTATCGCTTAGCTCATAATATATTGTGAGTTCAACTTCCAAGCTGTTCTCAAATCGGTTGGAATGGTCTCCCCAAGAAAAGTAAAGAGACAGCACCTCTCTTATTTATTCATGTCCGTTTTTCACATGTTCACAAACCCACGCAACTTGCACCCCCCTTCAGCAATAAGACGACCACCCCCCACCGTTAAAATAGAAAACGCTCCTAAACCGGACCAGAAGACGCTCCAGGACTGCGTCATAGACGGTGCTCCGCAAAATCTCATGCAGCGGATCATCCCTGGACGCCAACTCCTCAGGGAAAGATTTTGCGTAGATGTAGGGCGAGGTGGGTAGATGATCATGTCAGGTGAAAACGTGGATTTGTTCCAAAGGTAGAGACCAGTCAGTCCAGAGCCAAACCGGAGAAGGGCAGGACCGGTGAAGACAGGCAGCTGGAGAAAATGAACATGCTGGATGAAACCTGCGGGAAAAAGAACAAGGTTGCATGGTGTTCCATCAACAAAACTGACCACACATCTCACAACATGCATCAAGTCTGAAACGATACCCTGTCAAGAACAACTGAAAAATCTGAGGTTAAGAGTCTCAGCATAGCAGTCAAAACAAAGAATCCCAGCCTGAAACCATTCTCTGACATAGGTTCGAAACAACTATTGCACCTCCCAGTAAATTGAGAGAAATCCTCCGCTCCATGTATATAACCTCTGCGGTTCCTCCCATCTCTCCTCCCTGTCTTCCCGAGTGAGCTCCCTGTCTAGACACTCAAAAAAACACCCTGCCAAGGCTCCGAAGTCCGTGGGGTTGCTGTGGGCAGCACGGGAAACAATGGCACATCCTTGGGGGACGACCACCCATTGGCACCCTGTGAAACCGGTGGCTTTTACACCACGGAAGGTCTTCTCTCTGCCGCTGGGGCTGCGCCCCAAACCCAATTGTTGGGGGGTTCGAGTCTCACTTGCTATGAAAGAAAACTGATTCTCTTGCACCTTCAAACCAATATGAGCTGCACCTTGCAAACGGATTGCATGGTATTGGGCAAAAGCAACGTGGTCTTCCTTGGGTTCCAACTTCATTGGGTCTTATGGCCAAAATCAAAACCATGCCCCCCCGTAACCTCTGTTGCTTCTGTTCAGAGCCAGTTCCATGCCCACCAAGCCCCGACCGGCCAATTTTCCAGGTGCCAGACCGATGCGGAAGCCTTTGGTGGCTGGCCATTCAAAGAAGGCCAAAAGGTCCCATATGAAGTTCATTGAGACCCATGGCATGATCCAATATGAGATGGAGATCCAATATATGTATAATCATTGATCCCATATGGAGATCTCATATGATCCCACATTATGCTCATCAAATGAGTCGAGACCCGAGTCATGCTGCCCATTTTTCTGCTTTAGTCCAAGGGTCTGCCAAGGTGGCCTCATCGCCGATGTGCACCAACTTCAGTGGGCCCAAAGTGACGGCGTCCCAAGCAGCGGTATCATCCTGAGATCTGCGGATGGGAACGTTCGCTCCTCAAGCAGTGTCTTTTCTTCCCGTCATGCGGGCTGCAGAGCGTTCTGGGTTCTCGTTGATCTCTGGAAGTTCTGGGCATAGAGGTTCCCCCAACAAGTCTGAGTCTGCTGGGTCGTTACGACCGGTTGGTGAGACCCCCTGTCTTTGACCGGACCGGACCCGCGTGGTCTCTTCGAACCGGCCCGGAATTCGTGTGAGAGTCTTTCCGTGCATGGCGCAGCTGCATCCATGTTGGGGACGGAAAAAAGACCGTCTTTTATCGTGTTTTTTGTCTTCTTCTTCTGCAGCTCGGAATGAGGAGAATGGCTGGCTGGGAAGAGACCCATCCCGGTCCCCCACCACTTTGATGGGAAAGTAATGCTTCTCGATGAGAGGTCCTTGATGAAAGGAGAGAGTACTGCTGACTGGCTCGCCCGGTCTCAAAACAGGGGGCGACTCATTACACCTGTGAAGGAAGGTGTCATGTTGGCATTGCTCCTCCTGAAGAGAAGGAGAACACTGGATGAAAGGTCGTCAAATCATATCGTCCTTGCGGGAGAACATGGTACTTGCCTTCAAAGCACAAGTCAACCCCGAAAAACGATCCAAAATTGATAGCACAAATACCTGTTGCATGTTGTTTTAGGACAACAGCAAGTTGTGCAAAAATGATCATGATTCATGATGATGATTATGGTGATGATGAGGAGGAGTAACTTAAACAACAGCGTAACAGTGTCAAAAAAAACGATTTACAACCAAAAGGACTTGAGTATCACACTGATCAACTGCTTTCCTATATTGAATGTTAAATATGGTGGTCATGGTCATAGATGGTTGGCAAGTCACCCTCCGCCGGAATGTGATGACCAGTTATGACTGACTTAATCGGTCTTAAAATCAAATCCACTCCCAAACCATCCATCCAACATGGCTACCGAGGGCTACCAAGGCTAGAATCAGGCATCCAAGAACCAACAATGCTACCCCTCTAATAAAACAAACAACCACATCCAAGAACCCATGCAAAAAACACTAAATAACAGTACGTAGTAACATAGTCTTGAAAGAAGTAATAGTCCATGGTATTTTGTCTTTGGAAGGGACTCATTACCTGGCCTCCAGAAAAGAACGTTTAAGATGCGATGGAACGAGCTCCTGATCATTTTGAATCAAGCATTTAGAAGTACAGTAAATACAACGAGGTAGGAACTGCTTTGTCCCACCCGAATGCCTGCCCACACTTGCGTGGTACATGGAAATGGTGAACAAAAACACAACACCATGGACCTGGTGGCTCATGAGCAAGGGAAGCCTGTTGATGATTTTTCACGGTGTATTTCTTGCGCTGGACATCTTCTCCATCACCACACGACACCCCAACAGCAAACCATCTTCTTCCCAGGGCTCATAGGGCAGCGCGTGTGACGGAGCAGTCATTGGGGCGAAAGAAGGCAAACCGTGAAGCTTCAGGTACTCCGCATAGTCTCCTGACAGCTTCACGTCGAGATTCGCTGAATTGGGCCCTAGGACACCACAAATTTGATGGCCCTGATGGGTTAACCTCCCTGGCAGGTTCGTTTTTATTGCGTTGTACAGTAGGTGCCATGGAAGAATTGATAGGCTGTTAATTTCTGGAACAACAGCAAGCTCAAAAACATCAGCCAGAACCCCTTCATCCACCCCTGGACATCAGCTCAAACGAATCCAAGCAGGCATAAGCATCCCAAGCAATGGATAGTGGAGAACTGCTTCAACCAAATCAGCTCAAAGGTCGTTGTGCCAACTGTTGGGAGGTCGTTATCCCCGGCGTCCGAGACTTGGCGGATGTTGAGCGCACCCCACCGGATCAGGTCCGGTTAAGCGTGCCATGGAGTTCGACGTGGCTGACCCAGCCCTGGAACAGTTGAGAGGCCACCTAGATGTTTCAAAAATCTCTTTCAAGCAACAGTGGCAGTGGTGTTTGAGATGTGTTCTGGTAGGTCGGTGGGACACCCAAACAGCCATTTGGGATGGACGCATGTGCCAAGATGCACTGGCTCACACGGGGTACAAACCTACCGCCACCGTCTGCTTCACATACCCAAATCCCCCTCAAAGTGGAGCTCTTCAATGCACAATTTTAAAGCTTCCGGCAGCCATGCAATGGAAGGGATATACAGTCGTCTTTTCGTCGAGATATATGGGACTTACGCTTCTCCTCCACCATGGGGAGTGAAACAATGCCAACTTTTTATTTATGACATTAAGAGCCGTGAAACGCAGCGGACTTACTTTCGATCTCTTTCGCGACTAACCCAGAGCCATCGACCGCGATCTCCGTTCGTTCTCCCTTCCCGTTCGCCCTACGCGTCGGCCCGAGACTGTGAGAAGTCGACCAAGCGTCGAACAGGAATGGCAAAGGCATCACAGCAGGCGGCCAAGAAGTTCACCGTGAAGACTTCTTGGAAATCCTCCGGCTCCAAATGTCCTTGCTTCGTCAGCTGCTGTGCGACGAAGAGCTGAAGTTGAGTTCTCGCTCGTTGTGAGACTTTGCAGTCTCATCACTCTCCTTTTTTGCAAGACCATGCCACTTTGCGAGAGCTGTGCTGTGCTTCGAAGGAGATTTCAATGAAGGGGGAAGCGGTAGTCTTTGTTGGCTCTTGAGTGCTTTAGAGACAAAGGAGCTGGAGAACTCTTGAAGGAATTCCTGCAATCAGTGTGAATGATCAATATTCCAAAAACAATTGAGCTACAAGTATATAAGTGTTCATTCGACATCATTCAACCAAGACACGTAGCACTCGGAAGAAGTAGCTCTTGTCGACGGCCAGACCGGCTAAAAGGACCTCGCGTAGCGGAGAGATTAGAGATATACTTGGAGGATCCTATCGCCTATCGAACTTAGTTCATTCCCAACAAACAAATGCATCTAGTCTCTTCTAGAGGAATAGTGTCTGGATCTATCTGGTTTACCCAGCCGGTAGTGAGTAGGACTTGCCTTGAGTAAAAACCCACCAGAAAGTCCACGGATCAGTCGGTACCTCTTGAGTCTGAAAGGAAAACATGCTTTTTTACGCTACCAATAGCTAGCAACCAGTGGCTCCAAAGACAAAAACCATAGACCCAGAAACTCTGGTTCCTTATAGTACAAGTATACTGGGATCCATTGGAATAGATTGTAAACATGCATTGGACAGGTTGAAGTTTGGGACATCTTTCTTTCCTGCAGTGAATGTTGCTACGGAAAGAAAACAGGTGAAAACCGAAGGCGTTTTCGCAGCGGTTTGCCTTCGAATCCGACTCCACCGTCCATGCAGTCTATGTTTGCTGACTCTATAGGTCAGGTCAACACGCCTGACCTGCAGAGTTCGATTCCAAAGGATTTGGGATGACCTGTGGTTTTGAACAGCCATGACCAATCACAGGTGAACAACTCACGGTGCAACGTTGCAGCTATATATATATATATATAGCAACCTTCCCTGAAATGCAAACAGCCAGCACAGGTGGCCGGTTGTTACGCATCTATAAAGTCACCGAACGAAACCGGGTGAGATGCAATGCTGCCTTCTGGGCAGGGACCAGTCTTCTGGCACCCCATCCAAGCTGCAAAGCACATGTCTCACATGTCTCACATAGTTTCCAAACCACCCCTCTCCCCAACAAAACACACACAAACACAAAATACCAGGACCCTCCTGTCGGGGTGTCCAATGAACTACCCCACACTACCTATAGGCTTTCATTGGGCACCCCTTAGAGGGTCCAGGTAGAAACCACACGACACCTCTCTCGACCTCCCAACCTCAAAGACGTCTCCAACCTCCCAACCGCCCTCCGGTCCTAGCGGTCCTAGCGGCGTGGCGAAAGCATTGGCTCAAATAGATCTCCCCGCGCTCGGGGCAGCGGTTGGGATCGGCCAACAATCGCTGGAAGTGCTGAATCTTCTCCACCTGCCTGGCGATCTGAGTCAGCTCCGCACGGATCGAGACAGTCAGACCCTCGGACCTTCGGCTCTCTCAGGGAGGGGGCGAAGGTGGAGCGGGTTGGGAAAGGGGTGCATGGAAGAGGGTGTGTGGTTCTCAAGTTTATGATTTCTTTGATTAACATCGAGTGAGGGACATTCAGAGAACTTATTGAAACGATCAAAGGCCATGACTTCTGGTCTCAGTCTGTTAGAAAAAAACCTAAACATGCAGGGAAAGTAAGATTCACCTGGACGCTGCGTTCGCACCTTGTAAAATGGGTACAAGAACCGGTTTTTAGAGGGTCATGCAATGTAGGGTGCTTTGATTCGGCCGGCGGAACAGCTGATGGTGTGCTTCGTTCACAAGTAGAGGGTGTGGTTTTGCTTTCCATACTCAGTCAGAATATCCAGGCTCTGATGGAGAACCAACCTATCAAGTCCAATGAAGACAACATGAACTCAAATGGAACTGACTGTCGAAACACCGGGACCTGGGGCATGGAATATACCTTAAGCCTTAAGCGGTGTTCAATGAATCGCGCTGTTGTGCACTGGTGTTCCATGTAGACTTTGCGGTGTCAAACACAGAGTCCGTGCAGACTCGGGCCAACAACGTCGGCAAGTCGCAGACTCGGCGGGACGGCACGGGATTCATGGACACCAATAGTTTCACCTCCTATAGGGGCTATTGGATACACACCCCAAACCGGGGGCCCCTGGTCTAGTTGATCATGGCTGAGATATATATATATACAGGCCACATGCATCTGCGGAACGCGCATGTCCGTCACTTGTGCACCTCAAATAGATCCGGTGCACTTCCCGCCGTTGCTTTTCCACGACGGTCCGGTGAGGCTTCAAGAAGCTCAGCACCGACAGAAAGGCATTGGTGTTCCTCACCGGACGCCACGGACGCCACAAACCAGTCCAGTGACTCCAGTGAGTCCAAAGAGGCTGGATGCCAGGGTAACCCAGGGGTTCCAATGAAATGAATCTCCATGAATCTCCAAATTGATCCAACTTTACACACACCCAGAAGATTGGGGATCCACTATAACTATTTGGTGGAGGGATTAACGTGGAGTGAGCCGAGTGTGTGTTGGTTGTTGAGTGTTCCACATGTCGACTCATCTTCATGTTCTGAGCGGATTCTGGATGCAATTGGTACATTGAGGAAGTTTCATTGGCAGGAAGTGTCATAGGCCTTGGGGGATGGAAAAACCGGAACGATCAAACAGCTACTGTACAGCTTTTGAGTCTCCCAGCGTTGGGCGTTGGGAAGCCATAGATTTCTTACGGATCAGCCTCACCCAAGGCTCTTATCTCCGTTCGTCTCATCAAGATGGTCGTTGAGGTGGGAGATGACACAGGGGAGGATGGACTGCTGCTTCTTGGATTGAATCTCACCTGAGAAAAGCCGCAGTGATGGCCGAGTCTTCAGTGTTGGACTAGGTCGCCCAAACGCACTCACCAAACCGTGTGAAGGCTTTCGCACTCACTTCTTTGGAGGAGTTGGTGGTCACCTTTGCTTCAGAGCTATTATCAAGAGTAAACGGACTACCACATCTATTTCTTATTAACATATTCGATATTGATTGACACTTCACTTCCTAGCCATAGCTCTGTCACAGCGAACAAGCATCCCCCCAAAACACTGACATCACTGGGGCTTATTCAGAACATTTCAGCGGCCCATGCTCAAAAAAGCGGCCAAACTTGCGGCCAAAGCCCTTCTTCCATGTGTTGACCCATTTACCATGCAGAACGAGCCCAAGCTCGCTGCGAATCGGTTTTCAACACCCACGCGACGGCGACTTGAAATGAGGACGGTCGCCGTGGCGTCGAATCGTCGCCGTGACGTCGAAAAAGAGAACCGTGACCTGGTCAACATAAAGCTGGACAGGCGAAGGGCTGGGAGCAAAAGAGACATATCAAGACATCATATCCTGATGATCTTGGGCTTCTTCCGAGACCCTCAAGAGCATAATATTGGCCAGTGGTTTTCCACGTTTCAAGCTTCCAACTTGAGGCATCTCGGCATCTAGATCTATATGCATCAATATATGCTCAAAGGGTCTTCTTCCAAGTCCTGCCTTCTTTCCTTCCCCCATCCCTCATCCCCTGTCCTTACTTACATCTTCACTGGGTCTTCCGCACAGTGGTCGTACCGCAGCCGCTTCACCCGGCGCTGCAGCCGTGCGCTCAGCAAGCCCTGCCGCTGCACAAAGGCGTCGTGCAAGCGCTGGGAGCGGCGGCAGCAGCGGTCCACCACGGCGCCAAGGACTTGAAGGACCTCCTGGTGGAGAGGGTAGCTCCCCAAAAGTCCCAAAGCCAGGCAAACAGCACCAAAACAGGAGAAGCATGGACATGATTCCAGCGGTGTTTCACATAGTTGTTTTTGGGTTATGTATTTGGAGTACTTGCATTTTTATGAGCCCAAGTTGTTTAAAGAAGGAAGTCTGCATGGTTCACTTGGAGACTACCCAGAAACATGTCGCAGTTCGACAGTTCCAGAAGGGTGGGACTATGGTTTTGACAAGACCCAGTACCTAGCAAAATGGTTGGTTGGGAAACTACCTGTAGCTCCATTGGGCTCCCATTTTGGAAGGGAACATGGACAACCCTCCCTCCACTAGCTCGCTGCTCTGTCCGTCTGGACAACTTCATGTCCCCCAAGTTGGTGACGTCCGAGAAACACAGAAGCAGCCCTTACAACCTCAGCCTTCGGACGTCACATAAAACCTTGCAATTATATATATTGGCCGCAAAACCCCAAAAACGCAGGCCTATGCCCAAGATAGCCCAAACAGATCCCAAAAACGACTAGCTCTGCAAAACGCTTTTGGCTTCAGATTGATACCCAGCCACCGCTCCCAAAAAACACACATGTCCACTGCCTGCACCAAAAGCCACGAAGACTCGACTCCCATGCTCCTTCATGTGAAGTTCTGCTACCTCCTCGTTGTTCACACTGCGATCCGGTGGCAAAGACCTCCCAAAATCCGGTGGCGTAAGGAACATCTGAACGCTTTCCGGGGGGGTCAAGCGGTCAACGGTCATCTTCAAGAAGTACAAAGGAACATCATGGCGTATGTGAAAAACCTGCACTATCCTGCACTTATTCTAATTATAGTCATCCTTAGGGTATAAAATACTTTCCCGTTGTCTCATTGTTGATAAACACATATGCTATTGGATCTTCAATGTTATTTATGTAACTTAATTGACGCCTGGTTTTGATATGTTTCGGATGTTCCCATGCTCGTCTCCTGCTCCGGGACACATGCTTAGCCGAAGAAAACTGTGTTCTGGACATAATGTCAAGGACATCGGACTTTGATACTGAGTGCATCGTGACCTCAAGTGACCTGCACCTCAAAACATTGGCCATGTCCACCATCCCAAACATTCCCTGTGCAGCCAACCACTTCTTATACTTCTTGGTTACACCGTTGATGAACACCTCAAATCTGGTATTGGATATTTTTGCTAGCACAACATTTATTTCTCTTCCTCTACAGCCATTGTTCAGCAAGTTCCTATCCTCAAATCCCCACTCAAATGGTACAGTAACGACTGTGACACAACTACAACGTGTCTCCCCTTACGGGAGCATGAGTTCTTGCCGAAGGGCTCTTCTCCTCGTCATGGCACCAGTTCTCCCCTCAAGAACCCCAAGCGATTTCTATTGTTGTTCACTGAAAACCAAGCCATAATTCATGCGACAGACTCATTTGCCCCTAAGTCCCAAGAAGTCTTCCAACAACATTGCCTCTCCCGAGGTTGACATCTGCATAGGGAGGGAGAGTCCGTTCATCTCCATTCAGCTTCGCTCGTTTGCACATCCCATCCGATCGGTGTTGATTACCTCTGAAAAGTTTGCAACTCTTGGGACTGAACCAAACCCGGGCGCCAAAAATGGCAGCATGAGTTGCTTCATGGAGTTTGTTTTGTCACCGACTCCTGGGCTGACGAAACAAAGGTTTGCAGGCCGAGTCTGGCCTGTCAAACATGGAAGGAATGGGTCAAAACAACATCCACACACTCAGACTTGTCAAAGTCCTCAAAACAAGCTTTCCCACTCTCCGTATCTCTCCGTCAACCTTCACCCCCTAGAGCTTGGCTCAAAGGAACTTCACACCCAAAAACGAGAGATCGACTTCACACGCCCCTTGCCCCCTCTCTTTCAGTCCAAGCTCGAGCGACTCGAGCGGGTCGCACTACTCGACCAAGTCGGATTGTCCCGAGAGGGTCGGGACTGCACCAGGAAACAAAGGACCTGTTCAACAAAAAATATGGAAGTATGGAACGTCTTGGAATCGGCCGAACCTCCAAGCATGCTGGAGGTTTATGACATGCGGAGTGTCACTTTAGGGAGAGCGCGTCCTCTTTTAGCCGAGTCCGAGTTCTAAGTTGCTCTCTTTGTTGACAGGCCATTATCCACATGATGCATCTGCGTCAATTGTGTCGGACCAATCCGAACTCGGTCCAAAAAAACTCACAAACAGAAAACTACAACCACTAGACTCGACACAGTCATCCGATGTCATCCACACCACAAATCTCCAGAGTTTCGGAGTTTCTACAAAAGAGTTTCTTGCGAGCCAACGATCCCGCACCGCTTTTTGCCCCCCAAAAGCACTGTCGCAGGTCGAAGCCTTTCGTGCCAAAGCCAAGCTCACAACTAGACAGTCTATACATCATCCGAGGATTCCAGCTAGGAACTACGAACAGCGTTGGGCAATTCTTCGCCGCCATGTCAGCCATGCCTTGTGATTCCTAATTTGCTACTTCAAAATTTCCAAATCTATCTCTTCACTCCGAGATGTTCTGTGGATGGGATGACTTTCCGTGGACCAGGGCCTGCGAGAAAATCACTCTGAGGCTGTCAAAGGAACCAAATGGCCAAGGGGAGACATTTCATTCATCAACGTGTCTACATGGGTTGCTACATTGGCCTGACCAACTCAGCCGCTCCACCCTGCATCCTTGATACCCGCCGGACCACCACATGCTGTGTGAGGCCCGAACCATGCATTGGAGCGTGAAATAGAGAGTTTGCTTCTCTAACAGCAGGAACGAAGGTTTGCCTCGCGTTCCAAATATTCCATCTGAGTGTAAAGCACAAAGCAGCAGAATCACAGCAAAAATCCCAAATGGATCCAAATGGTATCAAATAGACCTAAGAACAAACTCATCAAGCATCTTTGTTTGAATATAGGTGCTGGCTGTGCCCGAGGGCCGAGCAGCCGCTTCTTGCAAAAGTAGATTTCAAACGGATCACAGCACTGCGAAAAGGGTTAAGAACATGGAAAATTGAACAACACTGACCTTGTTGCCATGTGCCCAGCAATTGCGCCACAAGTGTCAAAGGTGTTTCAAGAAAAATTGGTATGTGTAGAAATATACATAATATATGCACTGTGCATTGTTTTTGGTGAATAGCAAATGACACGTTCAGATCTTGCATGAGGCCCAGACACGCCCTTGCAATGCACCTGCTCCACGACCTGATCTGGACCTCTAAGAATCTCACCCCTAACCTTTGCATTGAACTGACCAGAACGAACAGCATCACCTCGCTCACCAACACAGAAAACATGGCATGGCTGCGGGGCATGTCACTGAATTGAACAAGTCACTAGAGTCACTAGAGAACGAAATGATCCTCACCCACCCACTCACTCACTCACCTCACCTCACCTCACCGCACCGCCTCGCCTCACCTCACCTCATTGCTCTCTGGCACTTGTTGTGTGTGTTGGTTGCGATCCCTGCTTTCCTTGCACCATCTTCATTGGTGCGAAGCCATTTGATTGCGGAGCTCTACCGCCGGCAACCATGTGCTGAGAGCTAGGCCTGGTCCCACGGGGGGCACCAACTTGGAACGCTTTGATTGTTGATCCTCTACGTGCCTTCCTCAGCACCAAACGCATCCTTTGCCAGCGCTTCTATCTCCAGAAGCGAGGCTCAGTTGTTCCTTGCGACCTTCTGACCCGGCAGCTGAGCTTGTGACACTGCTCTGACTGCTGCACTCAACAACTGTTCATAGCTCTCTTGGGATCCCCTCTTTTCCAAGGCGAGGGTAGCGCAACGAGACATGACCGCTTGGCGTCCAGCAAATCCGCACAAAAGTCACTCGCTCACTCACTCACTGCACTGCACTGCACTGCACTGCACTGCACTGCACTGCACTGCA